GGCAATTGCCTCACTCTCTGAGCCCCACTTTCCTCATTTGTAAAACAGCGCCAACTTCCTGCGTTGTTGAAGATAAAATGAGATCGGAACAAGGTTACCTCCCCGTAGGCTCAGCGCTTGAGTCTCCTCCGCCCCCGGCAGGACACCGCGGTGACCCGCGGCCCACTCTCCGGCCCCAGGGCGGCCCCTTGCTTCCTGGGAAGCGAGGGGGAGAGGCTGCGGCGCCCCCGCCTCGCACCCGCCCCGCCCGATGGGACCGATCCGTCCGGAGAAAGCAGGACATTAGGACAGCAGGACAGCAGGACTGCGCGAGGCCGCGCCCCGGGTCGGGTGGGGACCCGCGGCGCACGCCTGCCACCTGGCGGCGCACGCCGGACTCGCCCCGACGCCCGGGTCCCCGCTCGGGCCCACGCCCCCACCTCCCGCGCGTGCCTGGGCACAGCGTCATTTTCCTCCAAAGGCGTGACCATTCCACTGCTCTGGGCCTGAACCGTTTTACAACCTGCCATGGAGGTGCGGGGTGGTGGGACTGTCCCCAATACGGGCAGGGGCGCGTTCCTATTTCAAACTAACTGAAATACTGGCACAGGGGGCTGGGCGTGCATACCTGCTTCTCTTCCATTTTCCACACTGGATAGGTATTACTTTGTGATTAAAAAAAAAACTACTTGTAAATTATTTAAGTGTCTAACCACTATGCTGTCCACCTGAAAGTAATGTAAAATAATATTGACTGTCAACTGTAATCGAAAAATAAAATTTAAAACAGAAAAAAAAATTTTTTGAAATCACATGGGGGCCTAATTGACCTGTCTCTCAAGGGAATTCTGAAAGTTTTAGGCCTAGTTTCTAGTGTCTCTATTTTCATGAAGTCTGTGGGGATTAGGACTTGAGGCTTTGGTGGTCCATCCTTTGTATATATGCTGGGACTACCTTTATTTAAGAAAGAAGGGCAAAAATGTCCCCAGCCTTAGGATAGAGCGAAGAAAATGCTCCATACAGGCCAGAAATTCTTGAGCATTTCCCTTGTTGTCTCTGCAGCGCTCGATGGGGGAGGGGAGACTCTATCCTGGGTTATGTGAGGACAAGGATTTGTTTCAGAAAGGGCCATTAAAGGCCAGCATATACTAAGCACCTACTAGATGCCATATGCTGACAATACAGTCATGAGGTTGCCGTTCTGCCCTTAAGGAGCTCTGGGCTTGCCTTTGGGAAAGTTCATCAGAGCTGCACTGCCAATGGGGAGTCTCATCTTATTTGTGCTGAGGCAGAATCAATACCAATCAGAACATCAAAAGTGGTAGTGGGAGCCGCAGCCAGCCCTGGGAGGTAGAGTGAACGGCTCTGGCCCCCACAGCAGAAAAGCTGTAATGGCAGCCAAGGAAGCCACGGGGTCCCTGAGGGGTAAGCGGAGGCTGGCGATCTTTCAGGCTCTCCTGGGAGACAGCAGTCACAGGCCCTTGAGATCCACTCTGTGGCCTAGCTGAGCCTCCGAAGGGCTGGTGTGACTGAGGAAGTGGGGACACTTACTGGGCAGGAGCCCCCACCCTGGGACCTCATTTGTTCACTCAGCCATTCAAACATGTGTCAAATACCTGCCTTTGTAGGACACCTCGGAAGTGATACCTACCTGTGGAAGTGCAAAACAAGTACCCTGGGTATTTCCCCAAATCTCCAGTCGCCTTGCATGACTGATCTACCTCAGTCACCTGTGGGATTTTCTCAGAACTTGCCAGTCCACTGGCAAAGTCCCCATGTTGTGGCCAGGCCCAGCCAAGATGGAAAGCCCCTCGCCACATGACTTAATGCACCAAGATGAAACATCATGGGTAGTGTGTCTCTGCGATGTGGAGAAACCTGAGCAGGTTATCCATTTCTCACCAATGAGGTTACAGATGGACATCATGTGCTTCCAGATGTGACACTCTGAGAGGACACTTCATCTGTGCAGTATTCCCTCAGAGAATACAGATCCTGAATCTAACTCACTCAAGGTGACACGGTAAGGTAGAACTATGAGTAGAACCCATGTCTGTGACACTCTGAAATCAGCCTCCTTTCTAATCCAGTACTTTTAATGGCCAAGCACTGCCCGTTTATAATCTTAGGCTGTGAAGGCAGCCACTCTAAAAAGAAACTATTCACTCTGTCCCTTTAGTCACCTTCCAGCCCTGAGGAGTAAGTAGCCTTGGGACTCAGGGATGATATCTTCCATACATATGCCTTTCTTGAATAGCCTGTGTGTTTCTTGTAAACAAATATTTCAGACACAAATGCCCTCAAACTGAGAACAGAGAGCTCTGTTTGGCAGCATTGGACAGTAATGCTGTTCACTTTTCTTGCATGAGAGGAGGGGTCTGGGCCAGGGCTTCTGAGGGGAGTAGAGGGACAGATGAGTGTGGAGGTGGCAGCATCCTAGCACCCATGAAAATGTAAAAAGTAGAGCCCAGTGAGGCCCACTCTCAGAGGCCCAGCATGGGCTGCCAGTCAAAGCAAAGAGTGTTGGCTGAGGGGAAGAGGCGGAGTGACATAGGACAGGAAATGAGAGATTCAGATGAGGAGGAGGGGGCAGATTGCTGGTCTGGGGGCTGAACAGAAGGGATTTTGCTAAAGTTTCCTCTCCCTGCTGCTCACACCCTGCTGGCCCTTAGCAGCACCCTGTGGACTACTGTCAAAAGGTAGACAAAGTCAGGGAGGAAGGCCTGCAATCCTGTGGGCACACAACCCTAAGAAACAGTGAGCTGCTTCCATGTGGTGGAGACAGAAAAGGAATCTGAGGCTAGCCCCTGTTGGAACTTAGTGTCCACCATAACTTACTCACAACCCAGGGCCAAAGATTCAGCCGCCTCAGAAAGGTCAGTGAAAGCTGAGCATAGGACTAGAGCATGGACATGCGACTAGCTGGGTGATGGGAGGATAGAAACACCAAAATAAAAATGTTTGACATGCAAATGTATTTAAAAGACCTGAGAGGAGGCAGGTGGTATGATGAAGAGGATCAGGAGCTCCAGTGTGGAGCTGTCTCATCCCCTTCCAGGTCCTTCTCTGCAAAGTGAGGGGCTTGGTCCCACTGACCCCTAGGGACTAGCCAGTTCTAGCATTCTAGAGGCACTACGGTTACAAATAGTAAACTGCACAAATATTGAGTATAAATGTTGATACATTTCACTTGTGTAATTAACCACTATGCATTTCATTCCCAGGACCCCAGAAGGTTCACTTGTGCCCTTTTCCAGTCAAACCCTCCCCCCGCCACACACACACATACCACTAGGTAACCACAATTCTGACTTTGAAGTCTATACATTAGCTTTGCCGGTTCTGGAAATTAATATAAACGGAATCATTTAGGTCCTTGTTGGCTTCTTTGCTCTACTTAATGTCTGAGATTCATCGTTGTTGCATCTCTCAGTGACATGTTATTTTAATTAAAGTGTATTTCTTGCAGCACAATTCATCAATCTATTCTCTACTGATGGGCATTCGGGTTGCTTCTCGTAGGGCCATCCTAAACTAAGCTGCTGTGACCTCCTCGTAGGGTCTCTGGTGGACACGTGCCTTATTCTCCTGGGAGTGGAACACCTGGCCTGGAGGGTAGGTGTCATCTTTAGCTCTAGTAGATACTCCCAAATAGCTTCCCAGAGTTGAGCGGTGACTTTTACAGGTCTCAAAATGAATATATGAATAAAGAAGGAAAGTTTTGGAAAGAGAAGGGGAAGAAAGAAACATATTCCTCAAACGATTCTCGACTGATTCTTTCAATAAAATTTGAGCACTTAACTATGAGCTGGTGAAAGCCCAGCACCTCTTCCCCACTTCCACATGGCCTGACCTTAACCCGATCCTCACTCCACTAGGGCAGCTGTGCCTTGCTGGCACTATCTGGAAAGTACGATGGAGGCTTTGCCAAGTGGAGCAGGCAACAGCGCTCAACAAGGTACCTCACCAGCTGGGCACTAAACCGGAACACTCATCCCTCACCAGCTGCTGAGTGGTTATGACAGACTCTCCCTGCATTTCGCCACTCAAGTTAAGAAATCAAGATTATAGTAGCTTTTATTCTTCATGCCTCAGCAACCTGCATCACAGACAAGACTTTCAAACATATCCAAAGCAAGTCCCTTTGGATGAAAAGTCATTGAGCGTTCTGAAACACAACGCCCCACATGGGGTGTGCCAAAGCTCCTGCCCAAGGCTTTCTGCCAGCTCACGGAGCAAGCAGCCTCTCCCGTCCAGGCGCATCCCATTTGCACCAAAGAGGTCAACTCCTGGCACTCCTTAAAGGCAAAACCTCACTCCAAAAGCCTGTTGTGTTCAGGAGAATAGAACTTGCCTTTCTAGAGAGCAGGTTTCCCCACACTGGTCACTATGCATCTCTTAGGCCCGACTGTAACCATGGGCCATCCTGTAAATAGTAGGATGTCTGGCAGCATCCTACTAGATGCCAGTAACACTCCCAGTTGTGACAACCAGAAATGTCTCCAGCCATTGCCACATGGCCCCCAGGGGGGCTAAACCATCCCTGGTTGAGAATCGGTGCAGTAAAGAACACTTAAAAACCACCACCAGTGCATCCTGCCCTCCGGAAGGAAAGACTGATTAGCTTCCAAGACACAGTCGAGCTGGGTCGAGTGGTCTCCTTTGCCCACCACGGGCATTTTCATCTTGGCGACCATGTAAAACAAAACAAATAACCACACTGTTTACTCTGGTAAAACTGAAAGAAAAACTGAAAGGCACAAAAAGAATTTGGGGAAAGCAGCGTTAAGAGGGTTTGGAGGCAACAGCAGTGAGAGAGATCATCTCTGTCAGTTCCCGTCTGTGAGCTGACACATCAGCTATGGTTCCCCACCTCGGTGACTCAAACACCAAACATGAGGCCATAGCTGGCTTCATGAGAGCACTGGTTTGGGGGTGCAAACTCCAAACCCAGTGTTGTCAGGAAGTATCCCTAAACCAAGTCTAGATTGTTATATGAAAATATGCACAAGACACACAACTTTACCCTACTGTTTTATTAAATCAGACAGTTTTAAATGTACATTGTCCTGGTATTTTTTTATTTTCTTACTGAGTACATTTTACAAAAACAAACAAACAAGAAAAAACCATACAAAACACTTTTATCTTAGAAAATTAGCAAAAAATTAAGAAAGTTCAGCATATTACATTGTACAATATTTAGGTAAGAATGTTTGAAAATTATAAATATTTTGTTCCATCTAAACAAGGCACATCATAAAAATACATTTTGAAACTTTTTTCATATATAATTCCTATAAATGATCATATCTCTATTAAGTAAAAAGCCTGGTTATGACAAGCATTCACACATTCTTGAAATTTTCTGTACAGTAACTACAAAAGTAAAACCAAGGAGTCCGTCAGCACTTTGACAGCTTAAACCATCTTAAATCTTAGGAGGATTTTAGTTAGTAACAAAATGTCATTCCAAATGGGATTTACTTAGTTCATCTCTGTGCTCTGAGTCATAAGTACAGTAGATCCTCAAATAACAACTTTTCCTTCGCCATCATTCTGTTACAATGTCGAGAAGATGCCATAGGAACTTAACCCTTATTTATATGAATTAGCTTAGGGTAAAACTGGTTTTGCTACACATCATTTCGCTTAAAGTTGCAGAACCTATCGATGATATTGAGGACTTACTATATCTATCTTAGCCAAAGCATTGTTTAAAATGCTTCATTGTTTAAAAGAATTTTTGCCTCCTAGATAGGGCCACTGAAGCCATGATGTAAATCAGTAACACCACATAAAAGGAACCTTTCGTACAACTGCATATGCATACGTGGGCTGTAACCACTTAGTCAAGGCAAGGCCCACATGAGGCTAGTGACTTCTCTATCAGAGCAGCAATGGTCAAAGGCATTCCACGTGAACTGGCATGCGATGGCAAGTAGACTGGCCAAACTAGTTTAGAAACAGGTACTTGGAGAAGGAAACACGCTGCCAAAGGAAATGACTGACCCCAGTTCACAGAGGTTCTGCTTTTCCAGGGACCCTGAGCACCAACACCTGCTCCCCTCCAAACACTGCGGACGATGGCGTCGGCCACACTGTGTATGCTGCCCTGTTCCGACAAGAATCTGAGAGCTAAAAAGGAATTTTCAGAAGCTGAAGTTTTCCAAAAAAGAGTCTATTAAGAGCCTGACAATGTTGATTTTTTTTCCTTTTCTGGTAAGCCCTTGTTTGCAGGAAGATAAATAAGGCTTCCTTGGTATACTGACCCAAGAGGAGGTGTTGAAGGCAGAAAAGTTAGAAGCAGCAAAGCCAGTTCCTTTTGTCTTTAGCACAAAGCTTTCCAGCTACACTCGGGAATCTGCGTAACTGATGCAACTGCTGCCCTGAGGTCACTCTGTGGTCTTTTTTTCTTTCCAGTTCTTCTCTCTCTCTTCAAGTTCTGCCTGGGTGAAAGCCGCAGGCCCCCAGTTAGTGATCAGGTGAGGGTTTTTTGACCCTAAAAGACAAACATGCTTTAAATACAGGAAGTGTCATGTTCTTCGACTAACAAACTTTGCTATAGACAAAATAGTAAATTTCAGACTTCATTACTTCTCTGAGGAACATCCATAAATGTCAGACCAGCCAAAACAACTAGAAGATGTACATAAAGGACCTTGTTATCCATTAGAAGGCAAGTTAGTCGAGAGAAATTTACCCTAAATGGCTTGGTTTTTGTATACTTGGACTGAAGAAGTTTCTTTGTACAATTCAAATACACAAATAAAACAGAAAAATAAACTGAATAAAAATATGATTACTTCAAAGAGTGTGTTACCTGGTTCTATCAGTCGAATAAGTCCTTCGTGCTGGGCCACTTTGTCCTTCCAGCTCTTGGTCTTATTAGTTGCCATCTCCAGCTTCTTTTTAACTCCCTAGAACAAAAGGAGATTTGGGATTAGGCAAACACGCTGGTAGTTTAAGAGCCAAATAATGATTGGATACTTACCATGTGGTTGTGGATTATCTCATTAAACCCTCACCACTCTAAGAAGCAGGAACTATTATCACTCCCATTTACAGATGTGGAAACTGAGATTCAGAGCGGTAACCTGCCTAATGTCACATGGAAGACCTAATACACACTAATTACGGATGAATACAAAACTCTGTGTGGCGGTTAAGGCAGAGGCTTCCTGCCTGTTGGCTCCAATTCCACCCTTCATTGTCCTGCTTGTGACACCAGGATAATCCTCCCTCACCAGCTGCCAACATTAAGCTATGTCAGTTGAGGGTGCTGAAGGCACACTGAAGGAGGAAGGGGCTTCACTTCCGAGTTCCACTGCGCCCTTCCCAGCGGCTCCCGTGGCACGTGGGACACCCACAGTGCTCATCCTATGACTCTTAGCAGCCCCTCCCTGTGGGCAGCTTCCCGGTGAGCTCTGCCGGCACGGCACAGCACCTTGGTGAGCTTATCTGTCATCTAGCGGGCAAAGGCCACGCTCTCCCCAAGGGGGTCTGAATAACAGCAGTGGGCTCAAGGGGCGAGGAGTCAGGGGACCTTCTTGCAGATGTGTTCCTTCCGTGGATGCTCTGCCTCAGTCCTGGAAGCAGTGGCTGCTTCCTGCATCTGCCACTCCTGAGTTCTCGGAGTTTGCTTCACCGCTTCGTAGGTGACCCCCAGTTATAGTTAATGCTTGTTTTTACTGAACTTTCTGTGTTCGAATGACTGTGCGGTTTCTGTCTCCTGACTGGACTGACTGATACGCCTCATCACCTGTACAAACGTCTTCCTCTGTACTTACAGCTAAGCAAAATTCTTACTACAGCTTCTCGTAGCTACACAAATATTGTTTTAAAAAATGTTCTTTCTTAAAAAACTTAAATGCACACATTGGCAGGGGTAAGCTTACCTCGTACTGCTCCAGCGCCTGTTTCCGCTCTAGCTCCAGCTGCTCCAGCTGCTGCATGGCTTCCTGCAGGGCCTGTTCTTTCATGACACGCTGATTCTCCAGCTCCTGCTTCTCCGCTTCAGTCATCTGAATAGCCTGCTGCTGCTCCAAGTGCCACTTCTCCAGTTCAGCCCTCTTGGAGGACTCTTCCTCCAACAACCTGCAATGGTGGACCGCTCAGGATCAAACGGGCCTGGGTCACCACACCTGACCCAGCTCCTGACGGAGGCACTTTAGAGCAGGAAGGAATATCTGAGGTCATCTCATCCACCTCTCTTGTTTTACAAGGAAGAGACTAGGTGACAGAGAGGCCCATGTTCACAAAAGTGGCAAGGTGACCCATGTGTCCCACTCCGACTGTTTCACCCTTGTTATTTGAAAAATAATAACATTGAAGAAGAGCTTCATGTGCCATGAACTAGGCCAAGAGCTAAGTGTATTTTCTCAATTAACCCTCACAATGAGCTCAAGTACTATTATTATTCACATTTTAGAGATGAAGAAAGTGAAGCACAAAGGTTAAGTGACCCACACCAGGTCATTCACCAGGCAGGTGGCAGGGCCACATTTTGAAATTTGCCTGATCGTTACAACATTCAAACATTTTTCATCTAGTAAAAACCTATTATCAAGGAAAAAGCTGACAAACTAATGAAGGTGAGGGAAGGAGCTAACAAAAGGTAGAATAATAATGAATACTATTTACTCAACGATTACTATATGTCAGGCACTTTACCTTTATTATTGCTAACCACCCAACAATTCTGCAAGGTGTTTTTATCCCTACGTTACAGATGAAGCCATCGAAAATCAAAGGGTTTAAAACTATGTTGCACAAGTAGCCGTGGATTTTGACCTAGGTCTGTGTGACTCTAAAATGCTACCTTTCGATAACAGGCTACCTATCTGAGAATAGTCAGCTATGTAGGTATTTAAATAAATAAACTAACATACAACCCAAACCTGTATCCAAAGTGTGGACAATGTGGTTAGATGCCAGCTTGAGAGAGGACCCATCACCAGTGGCTTGACCGTCAGTATCATGGTTACAAGCCAGACGGCAGGCCAGCTACCGTTACCCTAGTGCATCTGCTGTTCTAAAATCAACAACAAAAGAAGTAACAGGCTATATATCCCTTATCTGACCACCCTCTAACTCCTCCAGCCCCAACCCCCTACCCACAGCATTGTAAGAATTCCCTCTACGACATTCTGCAAGGCTTCATGAATCCGGCCAGTTTATTTATGGGCAGCCTTAATCCTTAGAAAGTTCTTCCTCAACTAAAATGAGCTCTCCCCACAACTATCCCTAGTTCCACAAAGGACCAATCTGCCCAGCATCTGAACCCCTTCATGTGTCTGGAGAATCTGTCACAATGGCATCTTGATGGAAAGTAAGGCCCGTCTCCCACTACAGAAGCCACAGGCTAGACACCTGCCCTCCTGCCCCTTGGCAGCCAGGGCCCAGTAAAAGCCAAAACTGGGCTTGGCTAAGCAGGTGCCCCTCCTGGAACTTTGACTCTGAAATAACTGACACAAAAGAGCACAGACAGTAGAGAATTTATCTCGCTGGTGATAGCAATCTCCACTGTCAAGTGACGGCAGGAGCAACTATCGACACACAGCACCAACGTTGGCATCAGTGGCATCCTCACCAGATTCTTCCAGTACCTGGTTTGGACTGCAGTTTGGGCGGCTCAGCCTCCCTCGGTTCCTGCCTGTGTTCCAGGCCTGGCCACCTACTTTTCTGAGGAATTGGTGAACTACTCAGGAATCATTCAAGAAATTATTTTATTACTTTAGCTAATCCTATGTCGGTTTCTGTGGATTGCAAACAAGCCCTGACCAAAGACTTTAACTCTCTGTGCCTCAGTTTCCTCATTTACAAAAAAGGGATAGGAACTACACTCACTCTCAAAGGCTTGCTGATGAATTAAATGTGATAATGCACGTAAGGTACTTAGAACAGTGCCTACCACATAGGAAGTGCTGGCTAAACAGTACTTATTACCACAGAGGGACATTTGCTCTGGATCCTTCACATTCATTATGGCTGCCTTAGAGTACATGAGGTTTTTGGCAATTGTATCACAATGAGGCAAAATCCTGACTTTTCAAATGAATTGCTATTCAGCCAAGTCTCCTGAATCCTATGCTTGTTCTGTTGATATTTTAAACTATCTGTATCATTCCAGCCTGTCGATGTCTTTTATGAGTGCTTATTTTGACATTCTACACATTATCTACCTTCCTCATCTGCAAATGAGATAAAGGAACAGAAGCCAACACACTCTGAGTGACTGCCAAATGCCAGAGCTGACACTAAGCGCTTTGCATGCATTATCTCATTTAACCTTCACGACAACCCTGAAAGATTGGCAGTTATCCTTATTTTATAGATAAGGAACTGAAGGCTCAAGGTAGTAAAATAACTTTTCTAAAATCCCACAGCTAGAGATTAACAGAGCTGGGAACGAAACCCACACCGCACTCCAGAGCTCGGTTCCTAACCGCCTTCAAAAACATAAAAAGTATTATCACATGGAAGAGAGACTGTTGTTCCATGTGGCCTCAATGAGTAGAACTTGGATCCATTTATTCATTCAAAAAATATCCCTTGGGCACTTAACACGTGCTCGGCACTGCACCAGTTGCTGGGAACACAGATATGACTAAGGGATGCTCCTAGGTCTTACAGATCCAAAACTTAGTGGGTGGAAGTTATAATGGGATAGATTATGGCTCAGCGTCAAGAACTTTCCAATAATTGAGTTGTCCATATGTTAAATGAAAAGTTTTTTTTGTGAGTTCCCATTCAGAAGAGGCTAGAAAACAAACAGGAACAAGTAGATTTAAACACACACACACACACACACACACACACACACGCGCGTGTGCACGCGCGCGCACACACACACACACACACAACACAACACTTCAATTTTAATGAAAAAAAAAAAATGACAAGACCCAGATGGTCTAAGTCAAAGCTCTTGTAGTAAACAATTCACTATATAGTGTATCTCTGGGGAAACTTAAGACTCTGGCAGAGAAAGGACCATCCCTTGCAGAAACAAGATGCCAAATATCCCAAGAATGACGTTATTGCTGAAAGGACAGGAGGATGAACTAAAAAGCCCTTGACATATACCCTTGGCCTAAGATTATGTTTCATTGCATTAGTGCCAGGCTTAAATGTTTCTAGCCCAACTCCACGAAGACTTCCTTTGATCGTCTACCCAGAAAGGCCTTTTCTGAGACGTGGGAATAAGGAGAAAGCCTCCTCTGCCAATCTGACAAAATGTCCCTCTGAACCAGGCCCAGCCTTCTGGGACTTCAGGAAGAGAGGGACCCGCCTCACTTAAAAATGACCACTAGAAGGAGCCAGTTTGTCCATTTCGAGTTCCAAAAACAAAATTGAAAGAAAAATAATTTAGAATAGTAAAATAATCATCTTTATAAAGTGACCCTTGCACACCAAGAAAAACTTGACTCTGCGTAGTAATTTCAGCTTACTGGAGCAGATCGACATGTGTAGTAGATCAATATTACATCTGCACTCGAAAGTTTGCACTTAAAGTTTGACACCATTTTGCTATGTACTTAAATCAGAGTGTACAAAATAATTAGCCAGAGCTTTTTAAATAGTCATGCCTGGGTCCTAGTCACAGATATTTTGAAACAGTAAATGTGAAACAGGCCGCACATATGTATTTTTTCTGACATTTACCACTGGTTAAAAACAACAAGTTTTATTATCCAAAATTCTCTATTATTCAAAACATCATTCATTCTATAAAAACAAAATAACTAATACTTTAATAACTTTCTAGAGTCATCTGGTTCCCTTTGTGATCTAATAATCTCTGCTGTGTCATAATCAATCTCTCTCAACACTGTGGAGAATATGTGATACCACAGCTCACCTGTGAATTCTCTGCACAAGGGCAATCTATAAATTCCCAACACATCACAAATTATAAAAACGCTCAAAAACTATCTCATGTCCCTTAAAATGCCTCTCTTAAGAATCACATGGGACTCGAACCTTCCCACGAGAGTGGATCTTATGCCAGCATCACTGCCAATGGCAATGAAAGACAGTTCCCAGGATCTGGTTAACACCACAGTACAGCGAATACATACGTGTGGGACACAGAAATGCCAGGCAATATGCTAAGTAAGCATTTAATTTTCTCTTTAGAAGATAATTTTTCCTTAATAGAATCAAATTGTTTAAAACCTATTTATTTTTTAAGTCATCTTGGTAAAGTACCTAACAAAGACCTCCTTTTTAAATAAACATCTTCTGCTGCTCCACCTGTGAGGTGGCGGCCATAAAAAATCTACCCCAGCTCATCTCGCAAGTGCTCCCAAAACGGGGTCACAGCTGGAAGTTTATGGTATACCTGCACTGACCAGTTGCTGCCACTGGGGTAAATATTTTTAGTGTTGCACCCCTGGCAAGACATCTTAAAGAAAGTAAATGGGGAAGCGAGTTAGAAACTGGAAGAGGAGAGCTCGAATTTCCCTTCGGGGCCTTCATTCTACTTTGTCCTCCCTGCTGCTACCAAGGCCAAAGATTGAGAATTCTCATCTAAGAACATGACTATCATTAATAGTAAACTGACTTAAAAACTCTAAGGAAAAAAAATCTAGGTTTTAAGAACTTCTAAAACTAAGATTTCAAGTAATAATTATTGAAGGAATGTCACCAGTCTTGAATGATCAAATGGAAACTGCTGATGTCCTCTTTATCCCTCAAAAGTGGTTGCAACTCTAACAGGAAGCAGGCCACTGCCTCCATACCTAGGGCCCTGTCTGATCTAGAACACATCGAAGAAGCCAGGTTCTCTTTCACCAGAGCTGATCCTGGGTCCGTGGACGTTCTAGAAGATGACTAAGGGCACCAATCAAACATAACCAGAAGATTGCTCTAAAATAGATATAAGGCTAGTCTTTAGCCCCAGAAGCAAGGCTCTTCCAGTGTCCCAGATTGAGAATAAACAACACAGCCAGCTGAGCCCTTCCAGGGTCTCTCCAGGGCACACTCCTCCCTCTCCGCCAGTGTTAGTCATTCCTAGGAACTGTATTAGCCAAACGAAGTACACAAAGGCACAGTGTACGAACTGATCTGGTACCTGGCCTGGAGCTTCCTCACAGTCTCTTCGTCTTGCCGGGCCTGTCTCTCATCCTCAAGAGCCTCCTGCAGCTTCAGGTACATGTCTTCCAGTTCTCGCACTCGCTGCAAATACTGTTCCAGTTCAGAGGACTTTTGGGCAACCTGTTCTTCCATCTGCTGTCTAATCTGATGGTATAAAAGGGGTCATGTTTAAACACAGGCTGACTTTTCCCTAAGGGAAAGCATCCCACTCCACCACCATCCTGAGAGGTTGCGACAGTCCACAGCTTCAGCCCATCAGGGTGACAGAGCCCTGTCCTTCAGTCCTCGAATAGATGATGGAGGAAATGAAAGCACCGCACCCAATACCCACACCATGACCACACCCAAAAAGTCCAGGGACAAACTACAAGTCAGTGCTGTTTTTCTTGCCCTGATATGTTCTCTATCCCTTCCACTCCACATTTTAAGATTCAAGTAAAGAAAAAAAACAAAAAACAGAGTCTCTGTATAATTTCTCTTTAAATTTTTTTCTCTCTTAAAGCCACACGCTCTTTACCAACAGAGTCTTTTCTAAAAGGAATGAAACTTTTCCCAGTCAGAACTGCCAAAGGGGAAAGAAAAGTCTGATCTGCAGCAACTCCTGCTGTACTAACTCTCCTGCAAGCCCACCTTTCTCCCTCTCCAAGGCACCTCCAGTCCTGGTGGAAGGCAAGCAGTTAGTGTCCTAACAAGTTTACAGTTTCTCCCTTCTGGATTAAAGAGTTTAAATCTCTGCCTTAAAAATTAGAAGAACATCCTAAATGTAATAGCACACATATTAGCATATGTGTCTGCAGTTTGCAATTTATTTTAATAATAGCTATTCATTTTCCAATTGCGTTAGCTCACTTCATCCTCATAACAGTTGGGAGAGATCATATGATAGTCCCCATAACTTAAAGAAAACTAACGCCCAGTAAAAAGGAGCAGAGAGGAAACAACCCCAAATCCGGCTGGCGTGTCACACTCTTTTACATCACATCTGCCTTCTTCTGCCAGAACAAACACGTCCCGTTGAACTCTAAGCCATAAAAAGTTACTAAAGGCAATGTCACAAGCATCTATGTAACAGGCACTGGGCTTGGCACTTCCACACACCTTATAACTCAATGTGAGAAAACCTGTGTCCCAATAACCAGCTAACCACATGAACCTTGGGTGTCTGGGAGACAAGAACCTCTAAGATGAATCAGAGCTGCCAAGAGCAGCAGGCCAGAATTCATACGTTCTCATGATTTCAGAACCCCCCACTTTGCTCATTACAGAGGAGAAATGTCATGGAACCTATGCTTACTTTTTCCATAGCTATTTCTTTTCCAAGCCAGGACTTTCTGAGAAGGAAAAGGGATGTTATTAATAATTACACAAGAATGGCAGGGTCTGTCCCAGGCAAACCAGGACGCATGGTCACCCTAACCACAGTACTTGTCACCCGATTCTATAAATTTCTACTTCGGGGTCTTGAAAGCAAAGTTTATGTCTTTTATCTTTACATCTTTGGTATGGTGCCTGGCACACAGAAGGTGCTCCATAAACCCTGATGAATGAACACGTGACTTCCCCAACAGTCTACTGCCAATCAGCAGAAGAGCCAAGCTGACGAGATGGCCTCATTCCAGCCTCCTCACCTTCGCGTCTCCACTACTGACCAGGCTCTGTGAGCAGAGCAGCAGCATTCCCCAGCCGTGTGGTACTCACAAGTTTCTCTCGCTCCAGCTCCGTGCTGAACCTGGCCTGTAGTTCCACTTGAGTCTGAAGGCGTTTCTTCTCTTCTTCTGCTGCCCGAGATGCTGCTTCTTCCAGTTTCTACCCAATCAAAATCCCACAAACAGAAAAGCAGGAAATGTTAGAGTGGAAGTGCATTTGGACAGAGAAATGGTCACACTCAAACACAGGTGAGGACCCAGACATTCTTAATGTTCAATAAAGACAGAATAAAAACGTTTAGGTCTGCTGGAATTCCATTCCATTAATTTTTCCAGTCAACATACAAAACAAATTAGGTAAAATGAATGACTACCAATAAATCCGAACAACATTTTGCAATTGAGTCATTGAGTTCTATTCACTGCAAATGAATTCATGAGGCTGGAGATCTATTTTTTGAGTGCTTCCTGTATAGCCCTGTCATCTTACATATTATTCCTTAAAACTTCCCAGAGAGTGGTATGAGGAACTCCATGGACCCTTTCCCCAGTGAACTTGAACCCTTTCCCAAGTGAAACAATTAAAAAAAAAAAAAATTAAAGTCCCTTTAATTATCCTAAGGGCATAGAACAGATGGAGAACATTTATCCAAGAAAATCAACAAACTCTCAATAATAACAGTGAGTCGATGGCATCTAACCTACAGAGCAGTCCCTTTACCTTCCCCATGACGTCAGTGAGAAGAAAGCTCTACCCCACAGCAATGGAACCAAGAACACAAGGCTCCCTCTCTCCTCACCTCACAGTTCAGGCTGCAGTATCAACCCAGGAGGGACAGGCCACCGGTACTTCCTTTCCTCCCCAGATCCATGTTTCAGAAACCCTAAAGTGGCTGAGAGGCCTGGGGCTCTCTTCCTCCACCAGCCCCAACTCATAGGGTAGAAGTTGTACTTCAGGTATGATAGGCTGAGAATACTAGGCACAATCACCCTTGTTCCAATTCACTTGTAGGGCAGAGGTTCCACACTGGGAGCAGCAAGCTGAGACCAGAGGCTGTGGCCTCTGCCTAGTGACAGGTTCATAAAGCAGGGGTGTCACTCCAAGAGCAGATTACTGTCTCTGTCCCCAGCTCCACAGCATTGGCACAGAGGTTTGCCCAGGGAGAAGGGCAGGCTCTGAGGCTCTCTTCAAAAGAAGTGACTTTATTTAACACGCAGTGTGAAGAGTTCAAGCCTAAAGACACTCTTGAAAACAATGGAGGTTTTGGTGGTTAGGAATTACAGGAAGCCCATGGTTCTATGAAACCAACAAACTAAAACAGGCCAGCTAGAGGTTTGACAGAGAAAACCAGATGAGACACAAAGAGCCCTCAGGGAATAGGAACAAGCCTCGGAGACTACCTGTGGGCCTGAATTTAAATAATATCTGACTATGGGGCAATTTAGGTCCCAGGGCATTGTTGAAGACAGTAGAGCACTCACTGGCCTTTAGTGAGCTGTAACAACTCTGGCTACGACACCAACAGAGGCAGATTAACAGAGGGACATTCTCAGAGAGAGCCCTGGCTCGCATCCGGTCATGCCAGGGCACGTGTGCACAACGACAGCGGTTCCTCTGAGGACAGTTGGAAGCTTTACACTGGGAGGAAAACAGACCTGGCCGAAACAGTCCAGCCAGGCACACATCACTAAACAAATAAGTGAGCAAACAAGAACTAGCCCTTGGGGAAGGGGAGGAAGCTGTACCCAGAGTGAAGCGATATATTGCCTAAAATGTCCAGTTTTCCAGAAAGAATTATGAGACATGCAAAGAAAGAGGAAAGTGTGACTCATACACAGAGAAAAGCAGGCAATCGAAACTGCCTTTGAAGGGGCCCAGATGGTGGATTTATAAAGCAAAGACTTCAAAGAGGTTACATGTTCAAAGAACCAAAGGAAACCATCCTTAAGGAAGTAATAGAAGGTATGACAAATATCCCACCAAATCGAGAATAGCAATAAAAAGATAGAAATTATAAAAAGAAACAAACGGAAATTCGGGAGCTGAAAAGTACAATAACTGAAATGAAAAATTCATTAGAGGTTCTCACCCATATATTTGGACTGCAAGGAGAATCTATCAAAGTAGATCAACAGAAATTATGCAATCAGAGGAACAGAGAGAAAGGGGAATGAAGTGAAACGAACAGAACCTCAGAAACATGCCACACTATTAAGTGCACCGACATTTACATAATGAGAGTATCGAAAGGAGAGGAAAGCGAGAAAGGAGAAGAAAAAATAATGGCTAAAAATGTTTCCAATTTGGTGTAAAACTTTAATCTACACATCCAAGAAGTTCAACAGCTCTAGGATAAACACAAAGCCATCCTCACTCACGCACATCATCGTAAACTGTGGAAAGACAAGGACAAAAAAGAAAATCTTGAAAGCAACAAGAGAAAAATGATTCATCACTCACAGGAAACTCTAATAAGATTGACAGCTGACTTCTCATCAGAAACATGTGATTAGTTCTGGTCAGAACACTGTAAATAGAAGTGAAGTGTGACATTTCTGGGCTGGTGTACTTAATTCACTCTGGTACAGTGAATAGCAAGATTTGAGATGCTGGCTGTTTCATCAGTCTGGATTTCATAATTATAAGATGTGGAAATACTCTGATCCAGCAAACCTAGTTCTGACAATTTATCCTATAGATACCTTAGAATATGTATGAACACAGGTACAAAATTCCCTGTAGCACTGTCTATTAAACAACCCAAATGTTCATCAATCAAGGACTGGTTAAATAAGTAATAATAGAGACATTTAATAGAATATTATATAGCCTTCAATAAGAATGAAGCAGCTCTCTTTATACTGACATAAAATGATCTCAAATACACACACACACACACACACACACACACACACGAAATAAACAAATTGCAGAACCATGAAGTTGGGCATGTACTTTTTAAGTTTAAAGAATGGGAAAATAAGAGGGTATATTCATATTTTGTTATATATACATTAAATAAATCTAGAAGAATACACAAGATATAAAAAAGAATGGGGTTCGGCTGTGGGATCTGAGTGGTCTCTACCCAGATGGCAGCTGCAGTTCTATGAGGAGACACTTCCCCAATCAGACCTAGGGAACCAGGGCCCAGCAGAAGGCCCTGGGGATTAGAGCAGCAAGGAAGAACGGGAGGAAGCAGGGGCAGGCCCAGCTGGCCCAGCCTCTGAACCAATACCCTGAACCAGAGGAGGTGGAGCTGGCACCAGTTGGGGATGATGGCCTATGGGAAATCTCTGTACTTTACTCTTAATTTTATTGTGAACCTAAAATTGCTCTTAAAAAAAAAAGTCTTTTTTTCAAAAAAAAAGAAGAAAATTACGTGGGTAAACCCTATGAATAAATCTTTTAATTAAAAAAATACCATGATTCCTTATTCCTTCTTCTGAATTATGTAAGGGCTAAAGAGTCTTACAAAACTCTCAAATATGTAACCTAATTCCAGGTCATTAAAATATTCATCTGAATAGTATTTTTCTAAAAATGCTTCAATGAAAAATTGGAGAATTTTATTTCTTGATATGAAAATTAAAAATTATTAAGGGATCTGTAATAACTTTCCAATACATATTCATCAAATCCCATGTCAGTTGCTTAAATAATTCTATAAAACTAGGTAGTGGGAAAGCTGTCTAAGCAGCCTAGGCCTTCTCAACTCAGGCATACATTCACAGAACACAGAGCAGGGCACCTACATGCTCCCAGGAGGCTGACTTTAAAAGAGTTTGAAAGGAAAATAGATGGATGAATCTCAAATGCATGATGCTAAGTGAAAGAATCCTGTCTTGAAAACTTACATACTGTATGATCCCATTTATACAACAATTTGGAAAAGGCAAAAATATAGGTACAGAATACAGAACAGTGGTTTCCAGGGGTTGGTGTGAGGGTGGAGTCTGAATACTAGAAGCAGGGAGAGGAAATTCTTCAAGGCATCGCAATTGTTCTGTATTGTGTCTGTGGTGGCTACAAGATTCAAGCACGTGTAAAAACTCAAAGTGATACATAAACCACGAATCTTACTGTGTGGCCCAGGAGCTTCTATCTTAACTTGAGTAGTAATTTCAGGAATTTTCACTTCATAATTATTTGTATACAGGTATTTTATACTGTCCTCTGTATGTTTGACCTATTTCATAATTTTTTTAATTATAAAAGAAGGACACCAAGCCCAGATCCCCACCCCACTCGTTTAACACCCACTTCCACTTTGTGCACAGTGTACGGCAGAAGCATCAATCACATATTGTGGGTGCTCATGCTAGCCTGTGAAGGGAGTTTTTAAACAAAATGTATTGCAGCAGAAAAAGGCAAGATGCAGGATTCGGGGGAAGAGCAGCAAGGCCTGAGGAGCTGCTTTTAAAAAGCAGTTGTGCTGGATAGGAACAACTATTTTTAAGACTGTATGTCCACATGGTTCTTAAGATTATAAAAGTATAAAAAAAAAAAAAATTGGAGTCTACTCCGAGGAAGTCAGCACGGAGTGTGGCATTTCCCCCAGGTTGCAAAGGGAGAACCCCTCCGGGAATGTGGGGCCTAATACTATGAGCAACCCCCATATCCCAAGGCAAAGGTGTGCTGAGGAGGATATCGGTGGTTAACAGGAGCCCATTGATTCAAGGCAGATAGGCTCAGCCCCAAAGTGTCCCAAACAAAGACCATGCCCACACACTGGGGACCCCCAACACCCACAGAACCATTAATATAACCGGGGGACAAGGTTTCCCAGTGAACGTTGGTTAACTGTCCTGTACGGCCTACAGTATGTGACCTCCGGGCCCTGAGATGGAAGAAGCTGACCCAAACTGTATCTTTGACTCCAAACAGTAAGTAAAACCCACAATGCTACACTAAGGGCTCTGCAGTGTACTCACGAGTGAAGAAGGGAGCGACAGGGGAAAAAAATAAAAAAGCAACAGACCCTACCCAGGTCACCAAAAGTGACCTCGACATCTTTAGGAGAATAAAATTTCTCATCTTTCTGGACAAAATTAATCTGTGCTTATTTTATAAATATGCTTTTCTTTTCTGGTCAATGAAATGTCCCTGCTGCTCTGAGATCCTAATAATTTCAGGGCTGGGAAAACCAGGGTGTCTCACTCAGACACACTTCCCGAGAACCCAGTTCACCAAATATATCTCCCTAAAATAGAGTAACCTGGTCTTGGTAAAACCAAACTTCCTAAGTAAGGTAGCTGAGGCTCCCGCAGTGAAATGGATTGCTCAGCGTCCATTCCCACCTTCCTCACGGTCTCCAGCTCCTGCTGCTTGTTTTCGTTGGCAGCCTGGAGCTCCTTCATCTGTCGCTCCAGCTCCTCCTGCTCAGCCAGCAGCTTCTTCCGGAGTTCTTTCCGACGCTGGCGGGCTTCTTTGTGTGGTGGGGGACTGCCCAGCTTCAACAGATGGATAGTAGAGTGAATAGCTGTAAACGGTGTAGGAGGAAAAACAGGAAATATCCTTTATTCTTTGTGAGCTTAACATGCAAATGGCACAGTGGGAAGAAAACCAGAGCCCCCGTGTAGATTCTGATCCTGCCACTGAGTAGCGCTGTGACCTTGAGCAAATCACACAACCTCTTGCAGCATCAGTTTCCTCATCTCTAAAATGAGAGGCATCTCTAAAGTCCCTTCCAGCTCCCAATTCCACAATTGTATCTGTGCTTGAATAGATAGATATCTGAATCGAGAATACCACACACATTTTAAGAATTTAAAACAACATTTTTAACAACTTTCTCCATATTTCTCAAAAGTCCAAATATATGATTTCACTTACATGTAGAATCTAAGGAACAAAAAAACAAACTAATCAAAAGCAGACTCAGAAATACAGAAGACAATCTGGTGCCGGCCAAAGGGGAGGAGGGTTGGGGGTGGGGCTAGGAGAAATGGGTGAAGGATTAAAGAAGTGCAAATTAGTAGCTGATAGATGGTCACGGGGATGGGGAGCACTGCATATGGAATGCAGTCAGCATTAATGTAATGGCGAGGTGGAGAGCCAGAGGAGAGAGCGAGCAATCGGGGGATCATTTTATAAACTATACAAATGTCTAACCAATGTACTGTATACTTGAAACTAATAATAAAATAAAAATTTTTTAAAACGATTAAGGCATTGTAAGGGCTGAGATTCGAAGTTCTGATATCTCATTTGCTACCCGCTGTTTAATCTGCCTTCATCTAAGCCTTATGAAAACATCTCCCTCTACACAGCCCCTCCTGAGATACTAGTAGCTACCATTTGTTGAATACTTACTATATCCTTTACTTGACTTATCTAATTTTTATATGAACTCTGATTGCTTTCCTAATTGTTTCGATTGTATAAATGGGATTTTTTGAGTAGCTAATACTTTCACATTGTTCAAATTCAAAAGCATGAAAGGACATGGAGGAAGTCTCTCTTCCACTTCTATCCCTAAGTACAGAGTTCCGCTCTCCACTAGCGACTAATGCTAACAGCTTCTTGTACATCTTTCCTGAGATATTTTAAATGTATATAAATATGTATGTACATTCTCCACCTTCTTTTGACATAAACAGTGGCATAACACACTCCTTGGTTTTTTCACCTAATCGATCGTGGAGAGCTTTCCATATCAACACACGAAGCACTATACAGAAAGTACTGCACAGTGCTGCTCCATTATGCAGCTGTGCCGTAGTTTATTCAATCATTTCCCAATTAATGGACATTTTGGTTGTTTGTGATCTACCACAAACACTTCTACATTGATGTGTCACTTTAAAATGTGCAAGCATATCTTCATTATCAAATTATCAACCCTCGCAACAACTTTGAGAAGTAAGTACTATTATTATCCCTGTTCCACAGAAGAGGAAAGTGGCTACGGAATTCATAATTCAACCCAAGGGACTCAGGTAAGAAGATTCAAACCTAGCTGCACTTGCCTCAAACTCGTAAACCACATCACACATGACCACAATTTTCAATATTTTTACCTGAAACCAAGAGTCTCTATGACTTTGATTAAATATAGTTTTAAATCCTAGCTCTAGAAATCATATCTCTCCCCCTCCCCACCCCTCTCTCTAGCCCTCAGAGACCTAGCTTTTCCTCCAGATAATCAACAACCCCCGAGGCAGCAGAAGACATAGCCCAGACCTGACTAATGGTCACAAGGTGTGGACTTCTGGCAGGCTGAAGAAAACATCTGGGCCTAAGTTATGTTTCAGCTCCTGAGCCCTAAGGTGGACCGACCCCTGGCTACTTTCTAATGAGACCAGACACAGGGAGGGACACTGGAACAGACCTGAGAACTGTCCTCAAGACCTGAAGAAATGATTTATTACCCTTACCTCACCTCCAGCCAATCAGTTCCCACCATGCCCTGAACCCATAATCCACAGTGTCTTGTGATTTGACCTATGTAACCTGTAACCTATACACCACGCAGGAGTCGGGTTTTTAGTATTAGCTTCCCACCTCCATCTTGGCCAATTCAGTATTAAACTATTTTTCTTTCTATACTGAAAACTCGCACTAGTGCTTTTCTTTGGGCCAGTGCACAGGCAGACAGACTAAATATATATATATAAAATGAAGTCCCGGTAACTTAACCTATGTCCAAGAATATCATATTCAGAATCCCCTTTTGTGATATTAAAAAAAAAATCTCATATACCGTATCCCATTCTTTACTAATTTTGAAATAATACTTGAGTTTAAAAGTTATTAAATTAAGTTTGTGTTCTTAAGATAATTATTTGAAACTAGTAATTTCTTGTGGAAATAACAGATATTGGAAATTATTCAAAAGTTACTGCATTATTACTCTTCTGTTTATGTATTACACAAAACTCAAATTGGCACTTTAAAAGGAGAAATTCCATACTCTTTAAAGAGTAAATGAAATTCAAATGTCCAGTTTATAATTTTTCTACAAGTTCATTACGCAAATGAAAATGATGAAAAATTTGAGAACTATCCTCTTAACTTGTTTTTCTTTAAGCTACTATGTTTCTTTAAGAACTAACTATAGACAATGAGGAAACATTGTCTATAGTATCTTCAATGAGATTCAAAAATAGAAAGTTAGCCCTCTCAGGTTATGTCATGACAAATAATAAAAATTACCTTACCCTGAATCCACTCCTGTTTCTTCTTCTTATCTGAAGCACTGATTTCAAAGGTTTTATCAAAACATTTTATAAGAAAAAGGCATTTCTTTCCATCCTTGTCAGGCAAAGACTAAAACAGAAAGCAAAATTAGTTCTCTAAAATTTTATTTTTAAGTATTTAAATTAAAATCCATCTTACTTATTTATACAAATCTGGCTGAAATTCAATGTCAGTGAAAAATATCTACAAATGCCTATTACTGATTTACTAATGCTGTCCCCTAGGCAACATTATTTATGGGAACCATGCCCCCTGATTAGTATACTACATCTGACTGGGAGAACCACCAACACCTGATGGGATGCCATGCTTTGGGCTTTCCTGAGCACAGCGACTCTTGTACCTGAGCGCATCCCTTATAGGGTATACCATGGCATTGTTAGAACAGCTGACTCCTGTGGTAAGCCTGGGTAAGCCTGGGCGATTCCCACACCTGCTTGATATAGCTGTCCTCTCCTAATACCTGGGATGTTGCTGCTGGCAAGCCGTGGTTCCTGTCCTAGATATCCTCATAAGGAGACTGGTATGGCCTACCATAATCTTGTGAGTCTCCGTGTTTAGTTGGTCCTAAGAAGATCCCTTAGTAGGTGTTGTGTACCCTAAGGTATCCATCAAAATACATTATCGTTTATGAGTGAGATCTTAGGTATTTTAAATGTTCTTCAATAAATATAGACATGATAGTAGTTCAGATATAAATTAAAAACTCAAAAAGATATGTCCTTGAGGTCTTCACTTCTTTACAGTATTAACAGTTATAAATAAGGTATCCTGAAAGTCACTGAAAACATTCAAAAGTAATGCTCACATCCTCTTCAGTTTTACTTATTCCACTCAAAATGGCCCAGATTTTCTGGTACTTTGTGAGAATAAGACAGAAAATAAATTCAAATTACCAAAAGATTTTGTCAGTTATCTTTGATTTTTAGTTCAGAAACTATGGCGACTTTATGACTATATTATTCTTGAAATGTGAGTTTAAGATTAAGGATCTAAAGTCTTGAAGAAGGAAGATAAATTATTTGAGCAGCAGGGGGCAGCACTGGAAAGAAAACTTACCTCTACATAGCAATTTTCATCCAAGATAATATCTCCTTTCTTATCTTTCAGATCCTCACTCACATAATAAGAAATTATGTTGGGTTTTAGTACAAACCAGCGCTCAGTCCAGTTTTTCCGTCTGTGGCCTTTTTTCATCATGTAACCCTATGAAAGATTAAATGTGATATAAATACCTGTCCTCTTATTTATAAGAACTGATACCTCTTTTCCTTGATATTCTTGCTTGCTCCATTATCTGCTTTATGGTCCTGCATACATAAATATCGATGGTACTTGCCCTTTATGGATGATGAACTTGAGGATCTATGAAGGCCAGGGACACTACACCTAGTCAAATTCATGCAAGCATATGTAGACAAAAGTCCACGCAGAATTTTAGACACTCAGTGACAACCCCTGCCTTCACTGCAAAGCTACTATAAATAGTAGATTTTAGAATCCCTGACCTTAACAGCATTATGGTTTTTTAAAATTCCTTACCTTTTAGGGATATCTATTAAAATATTTATAGATAAAATGAAATGTCTGAGAATATAGGAGAGGCAAAAGTAGGTAGGGTAGGATTCGCCATGTGTTGGTGGTTATTGAGACTGGGTGATTGGTATATAGGCGTCCACTATACTATTCAGTCTATTCTGTTTAAATCTCTCTCACACACACACACACACACACCACCCCACCCCCAACAGTGATTTTCAGTAAATTAAAACTTCAATGAAAGAAAATGTTAAAAGGTATCTACTTGGCCAAGTATATCTTCTCAACCAATCACTTTCTGGCACCAACCTACCTTTCTGCCTAACTTCACACTGTTCTGGAGGATGAATTCTGCTCCAGATGAGCAGAAAAACAACTGAACCAATAGTTAGGATATTAACATCTAACTGTAGCTTCCATGCTCATACTTACTAGTCCTGTACTTCCTTCCCACATATCAGCCTCAGAAATAATTCAAATTTTTACTTCAGCAAAATTACACATTATTATAGGCCAAAGCCTGTCAGTGTTGTTCGAGAATAGCTAATGCTTAAATATTAAATGTACAGATGCTGATAGCTTATAGTAGACTATCTGTAGCATTAAAGATATATTAGCTCAGCTGTAAGTATCATTTGATTATTATACTAAGTTTTAATCATATTACTTGTTCAGTTTCCTAATCCTTGGACAAGCAAAAGCTATCTCATACTGAGATTCATCAGTAGTCCTATATCCGGCCATCCTGGTGGGCCTCAAAGCCCTCTTTGGACAGAGACCATGTCACATTCCTCTTTGCAGCACCAAAACCTATACAAATTAAGTTTCAATTAATGTTTATTGATGGGCACCATCAATAAAAAAGAGCAAAGAACAACAATATCACTTACTGAGCAAAAAAAGGACCGAAGTAAGGAAATCTCAAATTAGTTATTATCCAATATAATAACATAAGAAATTTCAAAGATTCACTAAAAATATATAAATTCCACTTAATAAGCATTAAGCTTCCCAAATGTATATCAGATTCTATGCAGGAGCTGAGAAACATCAAATAATCTAATAAGATAAATATAAGCTTGCTATATAAAGATATTTATTTAGCAAAATTTCCAAAATTAAGGGTATTTTTCTGGTTTTATAAAAATAACATATAATCCCATATACATGGGAAGTCCAATAATAAGAAAGGGATAAAGAAGAAAATAAAATGTATAGACATTCCACAGTCCAGAGGCAATCACTTTAACATTTTGATGAGCGCCCTTCCAGATAGTTCTGTGCATGCACATGTCACATTACATGAAAGAGATCAGATACCTGCTACTCAATAACTTTTTTTTTCTCTGAACAATATGCTATGGGGATCTTTCATATCAATAAGTGTGGATATACACATGACATGAAAGTACTATAAAAATAGTTTGAAAATGTGATCATTTAAACCAGGGGTCCCCAACCCCTAGGCCATGGACTGGTACCGGTCTGTGGCCTATTAGGAACCAGGCTGCACGGCAGGAGGTAAGCGGCAGGCAAGCGAGCGAAGCTTCATCTGTATTTGCAGCCACTCCCCAGTGCTAGCATCACCGCCTTAGCTCCTCCTCAGATCATCAGGCATTAGATTCTCATAGAGACACCAGTCCCTGTGCCAAAAAGGTTGGGGACAGCTGATTTAAACAGTTTTTTCAAAATTTAACTTCCCAATGCTTAACTGTACTTCAGAAATGCACTAATAATTCTTTAAAACGAAAGTCTAACCTTAAGACTAGGAAAATAAGAAACTTTATGCCTGTTCTAAATCAGTATAAAAGTATAAGTGACTCATACTCATCTTTGTGATGAATTTGTTTTATTTCGAACATGTCAAATTCTAAATGTGAGAATACAAGATACTTACCTGTTTCAACACATCTAATATAAGCTCATTAAAGACTTCATTTATTGCCATAGACACCGTCTGCCGATCCATGCCTTTGCTAAACTGTCCACTTCCAATCAGCTCAATCAGCTCCCACACAGAAAGGCCATCTTTACTGTCATCGAAGTTGATTTTATAATGTTCAAATTGTTCTTGCTGCCAACCTCCTCCCATAGCTTCTGTCAGTTTCTTAAGCAGATATTCAATCTACATAAAGCATTTAAAAATTATTATTTCCTAGTAAAAACAAATAACTCTTTAATTTAGGCACATATCTATGTTATTTACACTAATAAGATTAAAATTTAAGAAATATTCTTTTATAGTTCCAACAGCAGATGTTTAAAGGATCATGATACCATCATGGAGAAGGGTATAAATAAATGCCGCTGGTTCTATATTAACATAGAATAAGTAAAGGAATCAAAAACAGATAACCCTCTAATAGTACATTTGTATACAGAACTAAAGCAAACTGCATACATACACTACCATACACAAACTAATTAATGTGATCTGATTATTCTATCTTGGATAAATATTTCAATATATCAGAATATTGATCTTATTGAATATGCAAGCACTAAATAAAATAAATATCTCAAAGCAGTATGTACAAGTTACTCCCCAATTTACAAATTTTTCTATGTAATCCAATTATTTTAAATTTATGCTGCTTCCTCCCAATAGAACACTGCAAACAATGGTTGACTCCCTAGCCTGGGGTGGAAGAGCTTATTAAATCCTGAAACACATATCTTTATGTTGAAAAATAGCAGTTAACTGCTATTATTTCAATAGCATTTAAAACAGTGAAGTAGTAATACTGAATGAGAAATTGATCTCTCTTATCTTCTGAAAAGCCTGATTATCCTACAATGCTCTCAAACTCAACATGTCCAAAAATGAATGAATCATCTCAACCTTCCAAATGGTTTCCCGCCCTATTATGGATTCCAGTTGGGAGCATGGCAAGATCCTTGTTTCCCACTCCCTTACATCAAATCTTTGACAAAATCCTACTGTTTTTAACTCCTTAGATCAATGTTTTCAAACTGTTAAGATCCAATATGAAATCATCTTAGTGGGTACTAACCAGCATTTTCTTTAATGGAATGAAAAATATTTGAGTTCCTCCATAATAAAGACAAATATTGTTTTGTGACGAGTTTACAGTCAAAAGAGAATGAAAAACTGCCTGAGATAGTTCTCAGAGCTGTCTTCTCCTCCTCCATCTGCCTTTGCTCAGGCCTCCCGGTTGGTACCCTGGCCTCCAGCATTGGCCCCCTGTATCTATATTTTGCCAGAGATTTTTCTAAAAAAAAAAAACCTAAGCCTGTGACCACCCCTCCTTAAATCCTGCCTGGGTCCCTGTCACTTCAAAGATAAAGGCTAAGCCCTTCTGCATCCGTTGGTGATCATCCCCCTGTTTACTGTCTCTAACATGTCTTCCACTAAACCCTCAGCAGATTCTACACTCCACCAGTACTACCAATAGTATTGATCAGGGGTCCCAAGCTGCTTCTGTAAAGGACTAGACAGTAAATATTTCAGGCTTTATGTATCTCCATCATATGTTCTTCTCTGTTTTGGGTTGTTTTGTTTTTGTTTTTGTTTTACAATCCTTTAAAAATGTAAAAACTATTTTTAGCACATAGACAATACAAAAACAGACCATGGGCTGGATTCAGCCAGTGAGCCACAGTTTGCCAATACTTGCCATAGATTATAAGTAGTTTACCCACTTAATACACTTTTTTATGCTCCTATGACTTTCCCCATGCTGTGCCCTCTCTGTAGAATGCCTTTACCTATTTCTCTGTCTAGCTAACCGGTATATGTTCAAGTCCTACATTGTCTAGGATATTCCCAAAGTGAGTTGTGTGGACCAGCAGCAACAGTAGCAGTACTTGGAAACCTATTAGAAATGAAGTATCTCAGATCCACCAAAGACCCAAAAATCAGAACCTGCCTTTTAACAAGAACCCCAGGAACTTCCATATGTACATTAAAGTTTGAGAAGCAGAGCTCTAGCAAATCTGCCCTGACCACCTCTAACCCAGGAGGTGTTCTATGTCAGTGCACTTAGCATACTGTGTTGAAATTATCCCTTAACTCGTTTGCTTCCCCACCATTTTCTGAATTCCTTACAGGAGGGCTCATGTCCCACTCTTCTTTGAATCTCCAGAACTCAGCATGGTTCCTAGGATGTAGTATAGCTCAATTAATGTTTGTCAAACTGAAATAAATTAATCTAAGCCTTGATTTTCTCATTTATAAAATGAGCGAAATAACACTCATCACATATAACTACGATGGGGATAAAATGAAACGAATAGAGAACACTTTGCACAATGCCTAGCACTCCATCAGTGTTACTTCCCATCTGTACTGAGTGGAATATTATTCATCCATTTAAAATTACATTTAAGAAAACATTTATGAAATAACATAGAGTGAAGAAAAATGCAAAATTACCTATGACTTCCACTCTATAAAGACCATGTAAATATTTTGATAAATACTAGAGGAAAACAGAAACAGTAAGTATAATTGTTACAGATAGGACTGTGAATTATTATTTTTTCTTTCTCTTCTTTACACTTCCATTAACTTGGTTATAATGTTGTTTGTGAAATAACATTGTAACAGAAAAAGAATATCGGAAGGTCAAAAAATATGAACAGTTCTACTACTGTATTTGATGAGATACTGAAAAATCCTCTAGTATAGAGATTATTTAATCCCCTAAATCTAGCACATGGTAGATGGTCAAATGTTTACTTGTTAGAGAAAAACACACTTAAGGCCTTTCCTTTCTCTTGTTGGAGATATATCAACTACTGTTAAGCTTATCAGATATTATTATTTTCTTAACTCTCCAACAGAAGTAACAGGTATAGTTGGTAGGAGAGAGAAAAAGGAAATGCTTAAGAGGAAGAGAGAAAGAGAAAAGGGAAGGAGAGAATGAGACAGAAAAGAGAAGAGAGAAAAACATATAAATGCAAGAAGAGATTGAAGAGAGAAAAAGAAAGTCAAAAAGAACATTAAAATAAATAATTGTCCATAGCGAAATAACTAGAGGCATTGACATGTACAGAAATTCAATCTCGCCCTAAGGCAGCAAGAAGAAGAGCCCATGCTGCCGGATGACAATTAGGAGTAAAGGTAATACAGGCACAATCAGAAGTTTTAGTAGTAAGGCCAATGTAAGCCTATGCATATGGCCACATGTACATACGGGATGAAGAAAAGTGGATATGACAAGCCTGCACATCCGAATGACCATCGAATCTGTACAAAGTCAAGAAACTCAGCCTCAACTCTTCCTCACCTATCACTGTGAATGAACTCAAGCCCCTCACACTTCGAGCTTCAGTTCTTCTTGTCTATCAGATGACTTTTATAATGTTTGTAACTCAGAAAGTGCCTATTTGTAGCAAACTCAGGCCTAGAGGCAGCTTCCCAGGTTCCTGCAGAACCTTTCCTGAAGGTGCCCTCCCAAACCCTTCAGCACCCAGCATTTATTCAGCAGTCCCAGTGACTGGGCCAGACAACTAATCTAGATTCATTTCCTGTTGACTTTCATCACAATCTTATACTTATCATAACCAAATAACTTAAGGACCTCTTAAATCATTATACTGGGCCAAGGAGAGAGAAACATTACCATTCTCAGCTATTCAATTACACTAAACAATATATCACGTGTGCTGTGTCAGTGCTGCCGTGTTAGTCTCAAGTGGCCTTCATCAATTCTAAGAGCTCATTTCGTTTCAGGAAGCAGCTTACTTCCTCCTTCCAAACAAGCAAGTTTCACCAAAAATAACAAAGAATAAACTTTTAAGCTGCATGTGATTTTGGAGGCCTTCGGCTCCAAATTTACTTAGTTAAAAGTTTTTCCCTGTCATCTTTTAAAAGGGCCTTTTGTGGCTTACCAACAATTCAGGTTTATTTCATAGAGGGTCTCTTAAAACTATTTCAGGTTTGATATTTAATTTCATCAAGGCAATTCTTCCAAATAAACCCACAACAGACACATCCTGTTTTGTTCTTGGCTCTGTGGGAAATGAATACTAATATAAAAACTACTTTACAGACACACATTTCCAAGAATACCATTTGACAAAAATTACAGAACCATCTCAAATGGGGACACATTATTTCTTCACTTGTGTGTGGTCAGTCACTTAAATATGTATTCAATGTTCTTAACACTAATTTCTGGGTGATAGAAAACTGAATCAAAAGCAGATTTATTTAAAAAACAAATTTATTTATACCACCTATGTTATTCATATAACTACCACTGTTACTTATATAGTATTATTAATCAAAGCTGGAAATTAAAATCTTACTTAAAAACATTCTGGACTTAAAATGTAAATAATCATTATGGTAGGTAAATTATTAGAAACAAAAAAAGACTTTAAATGTATAACATCTAAAAACTGTTGGTAAGATTACAATTAAACTCATATATATACTCATGACAAATTAAGACATATTTCAAAATTTATTTTTAAATATATCTGTTTTCAAATGAAATTTTATTAAAATCTGTAAGTTGAACTAATTCAAAATATAGTTTTTAAAAGTGTTATTAAAGTATTTAGGAAGGAAGCAAAATCTAACAGAGAATGGCCACCTTCAGAAATATTATGACCCTAGTGTCTTCCATAAAATTGTGTGACCTCGAATTGACAGTGCTTGGTCAAAGGCCTGGAGATGTGCT